TGTGAAAAGATACTACACAATGGCCATAGTAAATATTATGGACCCTATTTATATATACTGGTTTCATGTAATATATTTACATATAATATCTAAATACTCTAGTATATTTACATATAATATCTACATACTCTATCTTTAAATAAAGAAGGTCTATTAGCAAAATAATTTATTGGACTTTCTTATACAGTTATCTACCAAAGGAAAATTATTTCTCAGATTCAAACCCTTTGCTGTGATTAGAATCACTAGTATGTATCAAGTCTCTAGTAGAAAGACTAAGATGCATACATCTCTCCCTGATACAAGTATCTGTCTTTACTTAAGTAGAGTACACTTTTACTCTTACTCTTAACTGTGAGACAAAACAGGCTGGAATAAGCCAAACAATTCATATTGTAAAGTAAATGTTTATAACCGACAAATTTTAAATGTAACCCCATTAATTAACTTCTCTCTGAAAACAGGTGTTACTCAATCCAGAAATATATATGCTTGAGATTTCTTTTTGAAACAACAAAAATTATGAATTTATGCAGATACCATTGAAGAACAGCATTTTATAAACACGAGCTACTTAGTGAAATTCATCTAATAGTAAAATACATTTTAAGTAGAGTTTGTTCATCCATTGTAATCTATGGATTTTTTAGATGACTGTACTTGTTTTGTTTCCATACATGAAATTTGGCACTACACAGTTCTAAGTGACTTCATTTTCTCCTGACATTACATGGTTTCATACTAGACCTTAAAGATGATCTCCCAGTAAGCCATGTCAGTGTAACTCATCTTCTCACAATTCCTCAAGGAACTCAAGCTGAGGAAATGCTGCTAGTAGGGAAGGGATTCAAATATGAGCATTCAAAGGCATCAGTCAGTCGCTCTGCTGGTCTGTGAAGACTGGGGAAGTAGGGAAATCTGGGACTAGGGAAAAACTAAACTTACAAAATCCAGCAGTACAAAGGAGATCAGTCCTTATGATTAGTCTTTGACAAAGCAAGCAAGCAAAACCAAATCTCCCAGAAGGTCTTTCATAGAAAAGCATTAAATAAATTTAAAACATGATTCACTTTATGAACAAGTTTCTAGAAGCATATCTACTGGATAGAGTTAACTCTCAACTATTTGCTAGTGAATTCCTTCCTTGGTAGATTATAAACAACCTTGAAGGCTTTGGCTGTACCCCAGAAAAGAGCTTGGGTGAAAGTGAGATTTAATCTGTGAGTATGCCTGAAAGTCATCCTAAGTGACTGAAGGATTAGCTAGCTGAGTTTCTTCTACTATTAGTGTTATTTATCATCTGTGCTGCTGTTTCTCTTCATTAGTTCCAAACCCTGAAAGTGCACACACACACACACACACACACACACACACACACACACACACCCCTTCAAGTCACTTAAGGTGACTTTCAGGCATACTCACAAATTAAATCTCATCTTAACCCAAGGTATTCTCTGGGGTCTAGCCAGAGGTTTCAGGGTTGTTTTTACTCTCCCAAGGCAGCTACAGCAAGCATGTGAAAGTCTTAAGATGACTTATGTCACTCAGTTCTCTCTTTCTACCACATGAGTTCTGGAGACTGAACTTGGTCATCAGGCTTGCTGGTAGACACCTTTACTGACAAGCCACCTTGCCAGCACCAGACAGTGCTTTAAATTTAACACAAAGCAAACAACAATACGTTTTCTCTTAAAACACCTTTTTTTTTAATGAAGAAAATAATACTCAAACCTCAGAAAAAATGTCTTCAGTCCATAGGCAGTATTTTAGACTACACCCTGTAAGATTTGGCCTCCAAGGTTCCTAAGAGAGCTAAAGAAGGGACCCACCCATGTGAGAGGAAAGTGGAATGGAATGGATCCTATGAAAAGCCACCCCTCCACATTTCCCTAACTCTAACTTGCCCAGTTTACTGCTAGAGTAGCAGCAGTAAATGATAAAGCCAGGACTGGCTGACAAGGGAACGAAAAGATGTTTCTGTGTGGTGAAATGGTCCTAATTACTCTTCAGGTAGCCCCATTTTCTGTCCCAGTTTCCCCAAATTAAGAGAAGCTGCTTTCATAGACCATTGTCCCAAAGCAATTTGTAATTAAAACCATACCTTTAAATGTCAAAACTAAAGGAAACCCAACTGTAATTCTGGACATAGAAGGAATTTCACGGGTGTTTTATGGGCTCTTAGAGTGTGTTTCTTCTTGAGTCCACGCCAGGAAACAGGGTTCCCACAATTTATCTTTCCTTTAAGATAATAGGCCAACCTCTTAAGCATAAACATAAAGCTGTAACCTGAGTCTAGTGCCAGCCAGGCACTCCAGGCTGCTAACAAATCCCTAAGAGGTGCCTGTAACTCTCTTGGCACTCATCTCTCCCTTGACTGACTGAGGTGTAGAAAAGAGTTAGGGATCAGCAATTATCCCAGAAATTCAGGGACTCCTTTGAGATATTATACAATTACAATTTGGAGTTGAGAGTACAGGAATCTGATTGACAGGTGTGGCTTGAGAAACAAGGTTCTAGCCTACCAGGAGTAGTGACAGAAAGGACATTGATAACTAGCAAAAAATGAGTGATCAGATAGAATAGTTTCTCACTGCCTTCTCTGACCTCTGGGAGGACCTTCACACACACAGAAAGGAGGGGAGGGGAGGGGAGGGTTGGAGGAGGGGAGGAGAGGGTAGGGGTTTCCAAGAGCCGCTGAGAACAAAATTAAAATTTTCTCTTTGGAAGTGCCCCTTGAGCCAAAAACATATGCGAAAAGACTTAGGACCTAATGAAAATGATCAAACTATATACAATGGGCATTTAAAAGACAGCAAAGGAACTCATGTATTTTCATCTTTCCTTGAGTGTGATTATTTTCAACCTGGAACCTTACTTATTATCTTTTTGCTCTGTTAATTTAAAGTACTTTTCTCATTCAGCTCCTATGATTATTCAACAGTACACTAAGAAATTGAGTCCTATTGTATTGTCCAACAAGTATCAGAGTCAGATAATACCATTATAAAATATCACACTAATTTTATTTTTAACTTATATTTAATTTCATATTCAGTTTTACATTTAATTTTCACTAAAATTCTACTATAAGATTAACTCTAATTCTGCTATATGATCTTTAGTTCCTTGCCATATTTAAATACTCAGTACTAAAGTCCTATTTTGAAGTATTTTTGTTTGCAGCAAGTAAATACTCTAGAAAACTATTTGTACTTTTCAACAACTCTTGAGGTGTGTTTACCTTCCAAAGCTTGCTTGTTCATCAAGGTCCCAGATAAAATGGTCAAGTATTATTTTCCCATGGCACTGATGTCTCATAGGTATTAGTCGTCTTATTACCCACTGACAAAGATTAGTTTGCTTTTAATCAAAGATTGGTCAGTCCATCCAAAGAAAACTGGAAACAGGTTTAATAACTAGTTTTCCCTCTTGAGACTAGACATTGTTAACTGCCTAAAACATAATTAACAGCAAAATGCCAGTCAACAAATACACTTTCACTTCATATCTGGGGAATTTAGGTGCTCCGATTTAATAGGGGCCATGGTACTAGTAATCAAATCAAAAGTCTTGGCCTGACCTCTAAAAGCAGCTGTAAAATGTCTAATAAATTAAGATGAATTCCAAATCCTTCAGAGGAAACAGGCCAATATCATTACTATGTAATAGATACTCATGTTTGAGGTCAGGACTTTACAATAAGGATATAAATACTAGCCTGGGTGCAAGGTGAGACATATCCTCAGTTATTTTGCATACAAGATAATGGTGACTCACTTCACTCACATTATACATGGCTGCATATATTAAATTTCTTTTTTTTCAAAACAAGTCTATCACACCAGAGTAAAGTGTTATTCTCAATAATGAAACTGAATTTGCCAAGGTGTAGAAACAGACAATTACATCTTCTATCCCAGTGCCAAGACAGGAGTTATCAGAAGCCATGATGGGTCATTTTGGCAGGGTTTTTAATGTAGCTTAGAAGTTCAGGGAGGTACAGCAAGGAAATATCTGGTTCCAACCAGAAGAGGTGCAGAAGCATGCAACTACAACATGGGCAGTCACAGCTATGCTACCCCAATGTTGCTGGAATCCTAAACAGGAAGCCAAGAGCCCGAAGCAGTTAAGGGAAGTTGTTACCAAAAGGCCACTGCCAAATAGTATCAAGAATTTGGCAGAATCACTGTATACTTGATATGTTATCTGTGAATAACTAGAATTGGTGGAAAAAAATTCCTAAAGACAAATGCAGGTCATATACCTTAAATCTGGTTGTCATTTTTAGCAATAGCAGTGAGGGTTCATGTGAATCTTTTTTTTTTCTTTATTTTTCTTCTGTATTCTCCACTCAAACTTGTTCCTACTTATTTTGCTTTGCTCTGTTTCTCAGATTTATTGCTTTCTGTTCTGATATTTAGGGAAGAAAAAAGAGACTGTGATTTAGTTTCCTGTCAATACTTAAACTAAATACAGTACCTCTTTATCACTAAAGACCTCTGCTTGGCCAATTTTAAAAGAAAGTATTGGACACTGATTGGGAATAACCTGCCCACTGCCTTCCTCTGTGCTGACCCCTCCCATTGGACCTATGGGAATATAAACCAAAATGATCAGTATCTGCAATATTCTATGGAGTGTTTCACCAGCCAAACTGTACTAACATCCACAAGCTATTGAATATATATATATATATATATATATATATATATATATATATATATATATATATATATATAAACTTCTTAGGCTAGTGAGAACTATGAAGACCTCTGCTATTGTAGCTATCTGAAAGGAGACTATCAAAGAATACGTATGATTCTCCAAAACACAGGTCTACTTCCCACAGGAAGAGTCCCTGACATTTCCAAACTTGTTACCACTACAGCTGGTTATATTTACTATGATTTATTAAGCTCCCATGATCAAATTGATACCTCTCTTTACAAAGATTTGTTTCTTAAAACTTTTGCTCTGATCTTTTTCTGCCCCTTCAGGTCATGGATTATACGGGACTTTTGAAATGTTATCCTCGTGGAGGAAAACTAGAGAGGACCAACATGTTAAAGAGCGAACTGCAGAAGTCTATGCAGACTCCATGCTTTCCTTCTCTCTCACCACTGCCATGTACTTGGTCACCTTTGGCATAGGGGCCAGCCCTTTCACGAACATTGAGGCAGCCAGGATTTTCTGCTGCAATTCCTGTATTGCAATCCTCTTCAACTACCTCTATGTACTCTCATTTTATGGTTCCAGCCTTGTGTTCACTGGCTACATAGAAAACAATTACCAGCATAGTATATTCTGTAGAAAAGTTCCAAAGCCTGAGGTATTGCAGGAGAAGCCAGCATGGTATAGGTTTCTTCTGACAGCTAGATTCAGTGAGGACACAGCTGAAGGCGAGGAAGCAAACACTTATGAGAGTCACCTATTGGTATGTTTCCTCAAGCGCTATTACTGTGACTGGATAACCAACACCTATGTCAAGCCTTTTGTAGTCCTCTTTTACCTTATTTATATTTCCTTTGCCTTAATGGGCTATCTGCAGGTCAGTGAAGGGTCAGACCTTAGTAACATCGTAGCAACTGCAACACAAACCATTGAGTACACTACTGCCCAGCAAAAGTACTTTAGCAACTACAGTCCTGTTATTGGGTTTTACATATATGAGTCCATAGAATATTGGAACTCTAGCGTCCAAGAAGATGTTCTAGAGTACACTAAGGGGTTTGTGCGGATATCCTGGTTTGAAAGCTATTTAAATTATCTTCGGAAACTCAATGTATCCACTGACTTACCTAAGAAAAATTTCACAGACATGTTAAGGAATTCTTTCCTGAAAGCTCCTCAATTTTCACATTTTCAAGAGGACATCATCTTCTCTAAAAAGTACAATGATGAGGTTGATGTAGTGGCCTCTAGAATGTTTTTGGTGGCCAAGACCATGGAAACAAACAGAGAAGAACTCTATGATCTCTTGGAGACCCTGAGGAGGCTTTCAGTCACCTCCAAGGTGAAATTCATTGTCTTTAATCCGTCTTTTGTGTACATGGATCGATATGCCTCCTCTCTGGGAGCCCCCCTGCACAACTCCTGCATCAGTGCTTTGTTCCTGCTCTTCTTCTCGGCATTCCTGGTGGCAGATTCGCTGATTAATGTCTGGATCACTCTAACAGTTATATCTGTGGAGTTTGGAGTGATAGGCTTCATGACATTATGGAAGGTCGAACTGGACTGCATTTCTGTGCTATGCTTAATCTATGGAATTAACTACACAATTGACAATTGTGCTCCACTGTTATCCACATTCGTTCTGGGAAAGGATTTTACAAGAACTAAATGGGTAAAAAATGCCCTGGAAGTGCATGGGGTAGCTATTTTGCAGAGTTACCTCTGTTATATTGTTGGTCTATTTCCTCTTGCAGCTGTGCCTTCAAATCTGACCTGTACACTGTTCAGGTGCTTGTTTTTAATAGCATTTGTCACCTTCTTTCACTGCTTTGCCATTTTACCTGTGATACTGACTTTCCTGCCACCCTCTAAGAAAAAAAGGAAAGAGAAGAAAAATCCTGAAAACCGGGAGGAAATTGAGTGTGTCGAAATGGTGGATATTGATAGCACCCGAGTGGTTGACCAGATTACCACAGTGTGATAGTATCTGCTTCATATATTTTTCACCCTAGGTCTTACCAAGAACAAAAGGCTTATGTTGATGAAACATAGTCAAAGTTGCTCTGTTTTCAAAAGTAAGAAACAGGCACTGAAAAAAAAAGTAAAAAAGTAAAAGATGAGGATAACAACATTAAAGCAAAAGAGTTGCTTTAAAAAAGAATTTACGTGCACATACGCGCGCACACACGTGCGCACACACACACACACACACACACACAGGAAGCAGAGTGTTTTACATAAGATCAAACAGAGGAAATCTTATTAATAAGCAAGATCCCATTTTACCCACACTGCAGAAGTTACTGGTATTGTAATAAAGTGCAACTGATTGCAAGGTCAGCTGCCATGATGAAAATATCTTTAAGCATTGTTCAAAAGAACAAGGCTTCCTAAACTTCTGCAGGGTTGTAACTCTACTTAGGTTCTGTGGTTTGAAGTCTTCATTGTCTCATCTACCACCTCAACACTGAAGGAGATTCTGTAAAAGTTCTCATCACCAAGAGGAAGCCAGGACCTCTGAAGCAGATTCAATAGACTGAACATCATTCACAAATTGAAATTGAGTTACCCCAAATTCACTTAGGTGAGCCAAGTTTATTTTTTTTCATGAATTAACTTGTCATATTCCTCCACTGATACACTTTTAACACCTGTATGGTTTAGTTAATGCACCCAGAAATCAATGACAGCTCCAGCACTACAGAATTGGGGCAATTCTATTTTAGAATATCTTGTTACTTGTCATCAGATGGGTCTACTTTATAAGTTACAGCTTTTGGCAGGAACCTCTGAGGGTGCAAAGCCACAGAGCCAAACCCAAATGGCTGGCATGTTGGAAGAAAAGCAGGTGTCTATTTGAACCTACAGAGTATCTCTTTATTAACAAAAAAGAAGAGCTGGCTGGTACAGATGTTTGTGGTTTGACCTTATATGCACTTTTGCATAGATGCCCAGAAACAACATCTGCCCATGTATCTGAGGAAAAGAAAATAAACACTAAAATCGTTATTAGCCAAAAAGTACCAGAATGGCTTTGTTGTAAGATGACTTCTACTTGACTTAGTGGAGAAGAGGAAGATCTTTGGTAAGTCTAAGTCCTGGCAATGAGCCACTTTATAAAAGTGCTGGTAGACAAAGGGCTCAAAGGAAAATAAGTGGAAATTCCTGGATAACAATAATCACCACTACAAACCTATCCATAACTGCAGCCAAATTCCCCTGCTATACTGGCTGTACCTCATCTTCCTGGTCCCCTAAAAAGCCTTTTTGCTATCTCTCTACTTCATCATAAGGCCCTCTGTACATTAACATGCCCAGATATTTATACAGTTCAACAGTTATATCTACAATGGCAATGATTCATAGATCTAAACAAAGACAGTTTGATATGAAGGGGTATGTATGCTGCCCTCAGCCCCCTGTATTTCTTTAAATCCATAAAATGAAGCCAAACCCTGGGTTACATTTGAGGCAAAAAGCTACAATGTCTTTCATTTTTAGAGATGTAGCTTCCATGCCATCTCTAATGGTAAGCATTTCCAAAAGGCTTATTACCTTTCAGGACCTTAGTAGATATATTGTAACATTTCCCCATCTTCCATAGAGGGGGAAGCAGGCCTTGAAGAATGAAATAACTTACCCAGGTTGCACTGCTAGTGGAGTTCCATCATTTCAGCATGGCTAAGACAGGGCAGGGCAATTACAGATTTTCTCATAAGGTAGCTACTACCCCTTCCAAATATATATGTAAGGTAAGAACATAAGGCTTCATTGGTCATGGAACAAACATATTTTTAATGTCTGGAAGGAAAACACTTCGGATTTAGGTTGGCTACTATCCTTCTAAACAGCGAAAAAGCCCAAATGATTGTGATGTAACCACACCAAGTGAGTATCTGTGCTTTCGCTCTCATGTGCTTTTGTCTATAAAGCTCTAACAAATATGCTGGGGATTGTAGCTAGTGCATCACACACATGCTCAGTCCCCCCTGCAGACACACTAATCAGTCATACCAATGTGTTGCTCACTGAACAAGAAGATGAGGAGCTTTACATCTAAAGACAAGTATACTATTCACAAAAGGGCAAGTTTGCATAGTTGATGTACTCTCAATCAATTTTCTCTCTTATGGGCCTGCAACTAGGCAATTATTTATAAAACACAACTGAAGAAGGGATTGGTTTTATTCTGAAATTATATGCTGCTAAACCATTTTCTGAAGAGTGTTTCTAAATCTGCCATTGATTTAGTGTCAACCATGTGAATTCACAAAACTGACACAACACATGCACCAATTAAACGGATTTTGTTGAGAATTTAATCATCAATTTGGTCAACCAGAATGACTTACTGTGGAACTTTGTTTTATGACAGTAGTTTTCCAACTTGATTGAGTCTCTGTGTATCTTGAGATGTTGTATTTTTAAATGAAGGGCATTTTCAAACTTGTCAACTTCTCTTTTCAGCACTTGAAATCAAGGTTTATGAAATTCTGACTGTGAAATGAATTTTTCTATTGGAGGACTGCATGCCAAGATTTATTTATTGTTAGGCAATGATTATGTATTTGTTGATATTTATTATTGATTGTTGATTATGCTCTGACAACATTGGTATAACCCCACCATGGAGAAGACACTGTAGAAATATCTCAAAAATTTTAACTCTTCATAAATTTTGCTTTTTAAATTGCTAAAAGGGAAGGAATGATCTCAGCAAAAAATTAATTTTTTTCTTTTAATTAATTCCAACCAAGACATTAATGTCCCCACTTTACCAAAGAAACTCATTTGGTTGGTTTTAAGTTGGTGTTTGGTGTCCATTTACCAAAGAAAATGTTCCATTCATCAGAAATATTTTTCCTGGTCAACTAAAATACTGTGATACTTGGGCCTTCAGAAGGAAAACAGGAAAAGCCAAAGTAAGAGGAATGATATTCTCTCATTCAGTGGAGTTCAGCAGAAGATGTGAATTTGCAAAGAAACTGGGGTTTACAAGAAAGAAAATGACAATTGAAATTGGACATTATTATTCAGACATATAGTAATGCTCCAACAAGTACCATGAGGGATTCACAGGCTAACAGTACAGTTTGTTCCAGAGAAAATGTAAAACAAACCCTCATGAAAATTCCTGTCCATTGTTCCTGCTAATAATTCTTTTTTTGTTGTTTGTTTGTTTGTTTGGGGTTGGGTTGGTTTTGCTTGTTTGATTAATGGGGTTGGCTGGGTTTTATTTTGATTGGGGAAGGGGTTGTCTTCATTTTGCTCTTGTTTAGTTTGTGGGTTTTGTTCATGTGGCTTCTGCTTTTCTTACCACTTTCACCATTTTCAGTTATAAGTGAGATAATTAGAGGCCTCCTCCATGGCCACAGTTATTCATGCAATTTACTGCTCTAAAAAGACCCTTGAAAAACTCTTTATTTTGAGTAACCACTGCCCAATTTTCTGTGGCATTCTAAGACTATGACACTACCTTCCTTCAGCCCCAGCAACAGACCTTGGCTGTGTCCCTCATGAGAACAGGTCAAATGGAGAGTCATCTTCGGGGTGTGGTATGGTATGAGGCAAAGCCTCTTGAACACAAATGGTACCCTCTTCATAATGGCTTTATTCCTTTGGATCTTATTAAAGTATCCCTGCAGCTTGTAGCAGTGTTTGACCTCTGTGAATCTCTGTTTCTTCATCTGTACAATGGGGATAACAACAGTAAATATCTTTAAATTCAGCAAATCTTGAGTGCCTAATATTACCCATACATTGTTCTAAAGACTGGACATACACAAGCAAACAAATCAGATAAAGCATGATCTTGCTTCAGAAAACTTAAGTTTGAGTGATGTTGCGAGTTGGCTGAGGATTGAGACGGTGTTTAGGAAGCACTTGGGGCAAAAAGAAGGAACTCAAGGCATTATTATATTTAATTTGCCAACTTCACAGTGTAGCACTATGGCTCAAGATAAAAACTTCCAAAGTGTTTCTCTGCTCAAGATTAGATCTATATAAAAGTACGATGGGTTACCACAGAAGGATATTAATTATTAGTTTTTGAGGTCACATCAAAAATAAGCTGGATTACCATGTGGTGGGACAACTGTAAAGAGGTGCAAACATGGATATTGGGGCTGGACTACAAACCTTTAAATGAGATATAGATAATTGGTGGGGATGGAGAGAGTAACACTTATTACTCTCTCTCTCTCTCTCTCTCTCTCTCTCTCTCTCTCTCTCTCTCTCTCTGGCTTGTCTGATGACATACATTGCTTTGGGGTAATTTGCTTTGAAGTTTGTGCTATATGAAAAGCACCAGGTATTAGAAAATAAAGCATTTTTACAAGCATGTATCACGTAAGGGAAAGTATTATATTGGTACTACACTGGCAAAAAACAAACAAACAAACAAACTGAGAATGCTAGAGCCAACACATGGCAGAGTCCCTCCCTGTAGTGACTACAACTGTTTATTTTTGTTTTATGCCAGTCCAGGAGAAAACAAAGAGAGAAGAGAATGAGCTAGAATCAGTTCACCTGAACCGTCAATGTTAATATGTTCATTCTCCCCAGCTTGCCTCTCCTCTGTCCCCTCTCTTTGCCCAGGTGATCTATTTGAAGTCCTCTTGGGTATCTATGAGAGTGCCATGCAAGGAAAAGGAAATGAGATGCCAGAGAACTGTAGCCACCACTTAGAGTTTTGCTTTAGAATCAAATTAGCACAAGGCTTCAGAAAAACCTACTTAGTAGAGAACAGAGGTTTCTTTGCAAAGTACAAAGAAACATGAGAAAACCAAAACCTAGAAAAGTGAAATATTCACAGAATTAGTTGGAAGAAGATCCAGGACTATAATTGAAGTATAGTTTCTAGCTTCAGTTTATTCTCCATTCTGCCACCTTACTTCCTGATACTGTGTAGCTAAATTACGGGTTCTCAATTCAGGAATCATGAATGAGTTGGGGGAGGGAAGAACACTTAACCTCCCTAAAATTAGATTGCATGCAAAACATGTGTGTGTTCAATAAGTACATTTTGCTAAAGAGAGGGTTCATAGTTGTCATCAGATTCTAAAAGAGTTCTCCATGACCCACTGCACCGTCCTAAATTAATAAGGACCTCAGTGGGAGTGCAATCCTGGTGTCCTCATTTTGGCTAATGAACAGTCAAGAACTTCTCAATATGCCGGGCCTAGTGCCTACTTCTGTCCATTTGTTCTTCATTCATATTTTCACTCATTTTTCATCCTGTAAGCATATTTTCAGCATTAATTTATGTTCTAGCATCAGTTAAACATAGCTTCCCAAGAAGAAGAACCAGGAAAGGATCTCTCTGCACTGTGCCCTTGTTGTCAGGAGTAACACCAAAATACTACAATACTTTCACTGTTGTGGTAAAGTATATATCAGTGGTTCTCAACTTTTCGAATGCTGTGACTCTTTAATGCAGTTCCTCATGTTGTGGTGACCTCCAGTCACAAAATTATTTTAATTGCTACTTCATAACTGTAATTTTGCTACTGTTATGAATCATAATATAAATATCTTTGTTTTCTGATTGTCTTAGACGATCCCTGTGAAAGGATCATTTGACCCCCTAAGGGGTCACGACCTACAGTTTGAGAACCACTGGTCTATATTGCCTCAAAATTATAGTAAACACAATCTACAGACATACACAGAGTGAAAAACTGACAAAGCCTACATGTAGACATGTGCCCTGTCAACCAGGAAAAGAACAGCCTATTTCCAGGCTACTTGGTTACATATTACTTGGCAACAGTATATTGTGTCCCTAAAGAGCCTGCTCCCAAGAGACTCCTATCTCAAACTGTGTACACCAAGCTTATTTGCACATACTTGTAGGAGCTGACCTGGCCATAAAAATGGAAAAAAATAGTCCTGATCATCTTGATAGTACTGAGGGTGGAAAATCAGAAATTATTACTATGGCAGACAAGTACATTCAAAGAAAAGTGCCTTACACATGTAAGCAAATAAAAGTCTAGTTCTCTTGAATACTAGAGAGAAGCTAAACATAGTATAAGTTGATTGAGGAAGCACCTGGTGGCTCTCTTTATAGTATAAACTTTAGGCATATAGAATCCTTCTGTGTTTACCTAAGGTAAGGTTGAGAGAATCACAGGTTCACCTTCCCTGAACATAAATCACCGAAAACTCATCCATGCCACTTCCGCCACCCTCTGTCTGGCCATGGTAAGGTAAAGACTTCTGAGGTGGAGGAATATTAGTCCCACTTTGTAACATCTAATACGAGGTTCAAGGGCTATATATTTGTTGGGAATCTACAAAGATTTGTCTAATTCCTACAGAAATGACTCTAACAGCCCATTTACCAAACCCATTCAAGGCTCATTCCTGAGAGAAACTCATAAAATTTTCTTTGTCAAAAACAATGTTTCTCTGAGCTTTTCCAGATATTCTTTCAATTAGCATGCCTTTTTAAATTGCTGTACCAGAGTCACCAAGATAATTTCCATGATGCCTCCAAAGAAGTGTGGACAACTAGGCAAAACTGGCAATAACACTTTGGCTCTGCTCCACATACACACTGGCGGGCACAGTACATACATAGATACATATGAGCATATATTACACAGAACACAAGTACATCCACATGTATATAATACCTACAGCAAGTATTTAAGTGTACATGATTATACTATACATATGTGTGCACATTTTGCACATGTATGTACATTTGCATACCACTTTTTACAATAGGCTTAGCAAATGCGAGGGTATTAAAATACCTTGGCCTGGCCCTTTGTGTTTTATGAAGGTAGGCTAAGAGCTTTAGCTGTACATAGGAAACCCTAAAAAATGGTATTTTCACCCTCTATGTTCTCCCTATATATTGCCACATCTGAAAACAGCCAAACAATATACTTTAAAAACAAGAAATCTGAACATGTAATTTACAAATTGCTAATGAATAGTTCCATGGTTGAAAACTGCACTTGATGAAAGTTTCCAAGTACTGAGAAATAATAGCAGAGACCCAAAATGACAGAAATTTCTTCCAAGGTCTAGAATTGTGAAAATGGATCTAGAATCATTGATTGGTGGTCTAGAGAAAAGGAAAGTGGGTGGGAAATACAATAAGAACATAGGTGGTGATCACTCCATCTTGCCAACTTACAGTCTTGGGAAAGTGAACATTTTCCATTCATCCATAACATCAATTTGGTGGAAGAATCAGTGAATGCCATATACCTCAAGGAAAGGAGACACCACCATGGAAACCTGGTTATTTAAAAAATGAGTTTTGATGTCGCTAACATAGCCTCTATGTAGACCTATGGCTCAGGGAGCATCATGGAAGAGGGGGTGGAGAGATTGTAAGAACTGCTGCAAGACCGTGTCTTCCAGACATGACTGGAATGCTGCACCCATGAACTCTCAATACAGTTGCCTGCATAAGACTAAACAAAACATACCGGTTGACATGCCAGATATGGATGGAAGAATATTGCTCAAAGTCCTGCCCCTAGGTGAAGAACCACAAGCAGTCAATGGCTGCTAAGGCAGGAGAAACGGTTTTGTTCAGGGTCAAATATTCAATCCTAAATGGCCAGCCTTAAACACATCCACAAATGGGAAATGATAATTGAGCATAATAGTTTGTGTGCATACATACATACATACATATATATATATATATATATATATCAATAATTATAGAAGAAGAATTCAAGAACACCTAAGAGGAGTTGAGGTGGGGGCAAGATGGGTAGAAATCATGCAAATACCATGTACTCATGTGTAAAATTCTCAAAAATATATAAAATTGAATAAATATAAAAATGGAAGGTGAAAAAATTAGCTTAAGAGAAACACCACACATGCAACAGAACTATCTATGACTAGAAAATTATAACTAACTCACAAAGACAGTTGGGGAAGTGGACATTAAGAGGGTCCCTGGTGTAGTATCTCCCTCACAAAACTATGAACCAATGGCTGAGGGGTCACCAACGGGATCAGGCCCTCTGAATGGGTGAGACAGTTGATTGGCTTGATCTGTTTGGGAGGCATCCAGGCAGTGGGACCGGGTCCTGTGCTCATTGCATGAGTTGGCTGTTTGAAACCTGGGGCCTATGCAGGATTGCATGGCTCGGCCTGGGAGGAGGGGACTGGACCTGCCTGGACTGAGTCTACCAGGTTGATCTCAGTCCTCAGGGGAGGCTTTGCCCTGGAGGAGGTAGGACTGGGGGGTGGGCTGGGGGGAAGGTGAGCGGGGCCGAAGGGGGAGAACAAGGGAATCCGTGGCTGATATGTAGAACTGAATTGTATTGCAAAACACACACACACATACACACACACACACACATACACAGACATTTTGAAATACATCTGTACTATGTAGCTTAGGCTAACCCCAAACTCACAGCAATCTTCCTACTTCAGCCTCTTGAGTTAGACTTACAATGTGGGAGGGTGTGTATCACCTTTTCTATTTCCCTATAGCAGGGGAAAAATGACTATTGGGAAGCTGAATCCAATCAGATCTGCAGGAAGTGACAGATTAGGAGACCTAAGAGTAGTGAACATTTTCAGTCTTCACTACAGGATAGATAGAAAGGCTCTAACTGGCAAGGTGGCTCAGTGGCGAAAGGAGCTTGCTGCAAGACTGAAGACC